GGGGGGGGGGGGGGGGGGGGGGGGGGGGGGGGGGGGGGGGGGGGGGGGGGGGGGGGGGGGGGGGGGGGGGGGGGGGGGGGGGGGGGGGGGGGGAAGGCAGGAAACTGGCGGGAACCCCCTCCCCTTCCCGGGAAGGGCCGGAGACCAGCGCCGCGGCCCCAGCCGGACTACAGGGTCTGCGTCGCAGGATGGCCAAGAGCGGTGTGGAATGAGGCCGGGCCACTCCCCCTGTCCCGGCTCCCCTAATCCCCCCCAGATTCCGGAAAATCCGGCCGGCCCGGCGTGAGTCAGGGGCAGAGGAGCAGGGTTCCCTGAAGCTTGGGGGGGGCCCCACAATGGCCAAGTTCCCCGAATCGCCATGCTTCCCAGGGTCCCCCGATGGGTGCCTCAGTTTCCCCCACTGACTCCACTGCATCTCCAAAAGAAATCCCAGAGTTGGGGGGAGGGGGGCGGTAGCGATCGAGTTATCCCGCTGCACTGAGGAACTCAGGGATTCCACCGCCCCCAGAAAGGGGAGGGGTCAGAGGTCGGGCTAGGATAGGGGGAAATTTCTGGGGCTTCCTGGTCTGAGGTTAGAGGCAGCCAGGTGGCGGCCGCACCCTGTGCTTGGGGCAAGCTTGGGGAGGTTGGGGAGGGGGCTGGGCCCAGCCTCGCAGCCCCTTCCCTCTCCAAGAGCGTCCCAAGCCCCTAGGTGTTGATTAAATGCGACGGAAGGGGCGGCGAGGACTTCCAGATCCCACGTGGGGGAGAGGGTGGCCAGAGGGTCCCCTCCCCCTCCCAGCTGGACAGGCGGGCGGCGGGCAGGGACCCAGGGACCGTAAGATAAGCCGCCGGCCTGGCCAGTACTCTCAAAATAGGTGACCTCGCCCGGCCGCCCCGGCCTGGTCCCAAGACTTCTGTTCGCCTCATTCGCAATCTCGTGCCTCAGTTTCCCTACACCGCTCCTGCAAGATCATTCTTCGCCCCTAGGCGTCCTGATACTCCCTGAGAATTCCAAGAGAAGGCGGAGGGCGGGAGCCCAGGGGTCGGTGGAAGGGAAAGCGCGGAGACCTCGCTAAGGCACGGTGGCGACAAAAGGGAGGGGTCTGGACGCCAGCACGGGGAAACCTGGAGCTGGGAATATCGGACTCACCCACAGCTCGGTGCCCCAATCCATGCTTCTCCCGCCGCCGCCGCCGCGCCCGGTCCCCACCGCCCGCAGCCCGCCGCCTGCCGCCGGGACTCTCAGCCACCGCCCCGCCCCGCCCCGGCCACGCCCCTCCCACTATGCCACGCCCCTACAGGCTCTGCCACGCCCCCGCCCGCCCGGAGCCCGGGCCCCCTAAGGAGGCGGGGCCCAACAGATGCTCCGCCCCCTCTTAAAGGAACTTTGCTACTTGGACCGATTCCTTAAAGGACCCCCATCCCTTTTCCTAATCCCTGGGACCCCTCTCATCCTCCCACCCTCCTCCTCCGTCCCAGACGGTTCTTCCTTTCCTCTCCAAAACACTAAAACCCTAATCCCAATAAGTCCTTCCCACACCCGTCGCAGGGAGAACCTGAGGTCAACCCGCTCTTGCAGGCCGGCCCGACTCCAGGCGTCAACGTTCGTCCCACTAATGGTCTGGTCCCTCCGGCCACAGGGCGGATGGAAGGACTTCGATCCTGCCCAGGACGCGCCTCTGCCAAGGCCGGGTCCATTAGCGCCCCCACCACATCCTGCTTTCCCTCCCGCGGAGTCTCCGCTGGGAAACTGAGGACGGGCCGTCCTTGGGGCGCCGGGCCCAGACCTTTCCCAGGCTCTGGTCCAGTTCGCACGTGCACCTGCCCATTTTCCAGTCCCATCCATTAAGGCCCAGTCAGATTAAATTATGAGTACTGTCCTTGGGATTCCAACTCCGCCACTCCCCCAGACGCCGGGCCCTGGGGCTTGGAAGTCTGTCACCTCCCCCATAAAAGTCTGTTCACACCTTGTAAAACCCTTTGAGGCCGGGATGAAAGGCGAGAGGCACCAGCGGCTCCCACCTTCATTCTCTACGGCCTTTGGCGCTTTCTCTGTAGCTACAGAGGTGACAGATGCCCTGCTGGGCTGCGGGAGGGGTCTGGCCCCCCCCCCCCGGGGACAGGTTCCAAGTTCGCAGAACTCCCAGGCTCCCAGTACAGAGAGATACCAGAAATACCGGGAAGCCCAGCAGGATAGCTCAGGGAGCCGACATTGAGACAGATGGCTCTGCTGGGACCTGGCCCCACCTGCTGGTGGCTTCTGGGCTAGAAAACCCGGTTGCAAACTGGGCTCAATCTGGGACTGGGGCTCAGACCAACAAAATTCTGGGCTCAACTTTCTCTGGTCAGAGATTCAAATTTAAATTGGGGTTCAGCCCAAGTTAGCACCACAGTTGGGATTGGGGTCTCAGACTGGGATTGGAGGCTTAGCAGAGGGGTCAGCAATCTAGTAAGGGGTCAAGGACTCAAACTAGGGTCAGTCTGGAGTAAAGCCTAGTCCAGGCTGAGGGGTGGTAGGTGGCTGAGCCAGAGATTAACGCTCAGTGGGGGTGGGAAGTCGGGAAGGTGCCAGTCCAGGGTACGAAGTGGGGGTGGGGAAGGTCTGGGTATCAGGCTGAAGTCGGGGCTCAGCGGAGATAGGGAGCTCAGCCTGGGGTCAGGGTTCAGCCCATAGTCAAATCTAGCTTAGGATCTGGGGGTGGTTCAGCAGCTGCCGCATTCTGGAATGGGAGGCTTAGCCTAAGGCTGGGGACTCAGCCTGGGGTCATGGGTCATCCTAGGGTTAAGATTTAACCTGGGGCCAGGTTTAGGCCACTCTGTGGACCAGAAAGATTAGGTGAACAGGAGAAGCCTCTACAGATGCTTGTGTTTACCAAAATCCTGAGCTATGGCTAGAATCCGCATCCCACGGGTAAGAAGAGGAAGTCGATCCTTGGGCATACTGGGAAATGTAGTTCATTTATGCGTTGTTGCGCTTGTCTGCTCCCGCTGCTTTCTGGGTAATGTAGTCTTGGACAGTCAAGAGTGGGTGGAGGAATTCTGCTTCAAGGGCCGAATATCAGCTTCATCATAATTGGTTAGATAGACTGTTTATCAAGGTATATCCGGGACAATCTTTCTAGTGATTGGTGAGCGTGGGGGCGGGGTTAAGCGGTATCAGCACTCCCATTCGGAGCGGGTGCTGTCCATCTGTTGTCGTATAGGGGCGTGCTTGCGGGCCACCAATCACTGATTGGCTGGGTGGGTAGGAATGGCTGAAGAGCCCGGCCCCACCGTGCGGCGATTGGCTCACCGGTAGGCGGGCTTGGGGGCGTCAGAGGCGGTGTCAGGAGAGGCGGCGGCTCCAGAGATGGCAGTGCGCGAGAGGAGGGGGCTCGGCCGCGGGAGCCCGGCGGAGTGGAGGCAGCGTCTACTTCTGCTGCTGGTGGTGGGCGGCTGCTCCGGGCGCATCCACCGGCTGGCACTGACGGTGAGGCCCGCCGCGCGGCGGTCTGGGGCGGGGGACACAAGTATGACAGGGAGAAGCGGGAGTGGTCTCGTCCGACCTCCCCCGCTTCTTACACGGGATGGAGCGGTCCGGCGCCCCCCGCTTCCAAGCCCGGAGTGGTCTCGTCCCAGGCTTTCCCCCTCGGTCCTCCGGTTGGAGTTGCCTGACAGGACAGGCTGGGGGCGGGGCTCCATCTCTTGGGACCCCTGACTCTGGCCCTTTAAATTCTTGGGATCACTTTGGGGATGCGCCTCTCGGGAGAGGGGCGGTCCTCTGGGTACTCGGGATCTTGGGGGCTGAGTTAGAATCTACACGTTTTCCGGGAGGTGAAGGCCAGGCACACCGAGATGAATAACTCCAGTCGGGGTGGCACCCGCCCCAGTAGCGGGACTTCCAGGTGCCTCAAGATTTCCCTTCCTGGACTCTCAGGACAGTGGTCGAAGGATCCAGAGCCACCTTGTCCCTGCCTGGGACTTTCCCGGGTCCCAGCCTCTAGGGAGGCAGGCTCTCTCAGCCGCTCTTGCCACCCTGTGGGCCTGTCCTAAATAAAGAGGTACTAGGGGCTCTTGCGGGGGCCCCTCGTGCCAGAGGCTGGGGCTGGGCTGGTGGGAAGGAGAAGTGAGACCTGCCTCTGCCTCCTTGGCCTCCGGCAGGGGGAGAAGCGAGCAGACATCCAGCTGAACAGCTTCGGTTTCTACGCCAATGGCTCCCTGGAGGTGGAGTTGAGCCTCCTGCGACTGGGCCTCCAGGAGACAGAAGAGAAGTCCCCGCTGGTGAGGGGCTTTGAGGAGCTTGCTGGAGGAGGGGGGCGGTGCACAAGCCTCACAGCGCTGCCTCAGTCCCAGTTCTGGATTCCCATCCTAGCTGTGCCCCTAACCCACGTGATCTTGGGCAAGTCCCTTGTCCTCTCTGAGCCTCAGTTTCCTCGTCTGTAACCTGGGAATAATAATATCTGCAGTGTGTGCTAGGCACTGTTCTTAACGAGGGGGGGGGGCATAGCGATGAACGAGACAGCCCCAATTCCTGAAGTCAAAATGAATCACAAGCATCTATTGAATGTGCATTAGGTACCAGGTACCACGCAAAGCATTTCCCATGGGGCGGTCCCCTCATGGCCACCTGTCAGGGATGCTGTGAAAATTCACTGAATCCAATTTTAAGGGTGGAGGTATGTGGCTTGCTCAACCTGGAAATGGCAGAGTCTGGATTCAAATCCGGGTATGCTGGATTCCAGAGTACAGGGCAAAAAGCCATCAACATTTTAAATGGGGGGAAACAGGATGGGCAAAGGTCTCCCTGAGGAAGTGACATCCAGATTGAGTCACATGGGATGGTTTAGGAGTTAAAAGAAGATGATGGGGGAGACAGGAGATGGGGTAGGTTATTGGAAGATTCAGAGAGAATGTGGGATCTAGCACATTGCAAGTATTCAATAAATGTGAGCTTATGTTTCTGTTGCTACTAAAAGGGATGGTTTGGGGGTCCCTGCTGGAGTCCTTCATATCCTCCCCTTTTCTTTCCACCCACCAGGTGGGGTTCAGTCTAAGCCGAGTTCAATCTGGTAGCATTCGATCCTACTCAGTGAGTGAAGGGGGTGAGGAGAGGGTGGGATGGGGGGGTCGTCTCTCCTATGTGTCTGGAGCTCAAAGGCAGCCTCTATTTCCCAGAGGCAGGAACAGGAAGAGACACTGGGTGGATGGGGAGGGAGGCAGGGCTAGGTCCCTGGGAAGGAGTAACCAAGGCTCCCTCTTTGCCCACTACCCAGAGCCGAAATTCCCAAGAATGCCCTCTCCAGAAAAACAGTAGCAACTTCCTGGTCCTGTTCCTCATCAACACCAAGGATCTGCAGTGAGTTGAGGGTTTGGGGCCTCGCTAAGATCCATCACTCATGTTTACCTGGGTGTGATACCCACACGTAGCTGAGCTGATCAGGTAGAATGAGAATCCAGCTGAAAAGAACCTGGACACACACAAGGAGAAAGCCACTCGCTTTTTAGTTCTACCTTGAAGCTTTTTAGTTTCATCTTGAAGTGGAAGGAGGAAGAGAGGGGAGGGTACTCAGGGAGAAGACCCAGATACAGAGAATTGTGAGGATCAGTAATAATTGTTCATGATAACTAATGAACAATTGTTCATTGTTGAATGTTTCCTGTGTGCCAGGCAATGTCCTGGGAGCTTTAACAGGTATTAACTCATTGATTCCTCATACTGCTATTATCCCCATTCTACAGATGAGAAAACTGATCCCAAGAACTGGGATTCAGACCCAAGCAGCATGTATATACAATGTTTTCTTTTTAAATAATGTATTTAAGTAGAACAAGTTCGTTGATGTCCTGGGAAACGCAAAATAGCTAGCACAAGCAGCCGCCTTGTCAGGTCGTGGCCAAATGCTGAAACTTGGTGACCATGGACCCAGCTGGATGCTGTCCCCCAGGGAGGAGACACAGAGGGCCTTGAGTTTTCTGCCATGGGTTGTGTGCCTGACACTAGGCTTTAGACTCACAGCCTCATCCCTCCACCTCTCACCCTCATCACAGAGTCCGGGTGCGAAAGTATGGGGAGCAAAAGAAGTTACTCATCTCTCCTGGGCTCCTTCCCAGAGAGCCCTTTGAACTGGGGCTCCCGAAGCCAGAGCCCACAGTCACCCCCAAGGCAGGCAGTGGTGAGTCAGGCTGGCTGTGCGGGCAGGGAGGGGCGGATGGGCAGTGCCGCTCTGTGGATCCCCCCATTTTCCTGCTGTACCTCTGTTTGTCCACCTCTTAAAACCATTCACCTGTCTCCTACAGCGACCACCACAGGCGACAAGGCCAAGCCAAAACCCGAAGTGTCTCAGGTTTGGGGGAACCAAGGCGGAAGGGAGAAAGTCCTACCCCCGGGGCATATGGGGACCTGAGCCCAGGGCCAGCTGGAAAGGCCAGCTGATGGAGTGGCTCTGTCCCTTTAGGGCCCCAGTGGGAAGGACAAGGAGCTGGTGTTGGGCCTGGGCCACCTCAACAACTCCTACAACTTCAGCGTGAGTGTCTATAGTACCCACGGCCCCACTTTCCCCCAGATCAGGGGATGCTCCTAAGCTGAGACCTCCTCTCCCCCTGCCCAGTTCCACGTGGTGATCGGCTCCAGGGCTGAGGAAGGCCAGTACAACCTCAATTTCCACAACTGCTACAACTCAATTCCTGGCCGGGAGCATCCATTCGACATCACAGTGAGGAGAGGGGAGGACAGCAGACTAAGGGAGTGTGGGTGACAGGCCGGGAGCGCCACGTCAAGCTCAGCTTCCTATAGTCCCCCCGCTGCATGGTGCAAAATGGAAGCTATTGTACCCATTTGGGAGACAGGGCAAACTGAGGCCCAGCAAGTGGGAGAGCTGGAGACTCACAGTCCCTGCTCTCCAAGTGCAGAGCTAGGGCTGTGTGACCACTGCCACCCACCACTGCCCTCTGTCCAGGTGATGATCCGAGAGAGGAATCCCGAGGGTTTCCTGTCGGCAGCCGAAATTCCCCTTTTCAAGCTCTACATGGTCATGTCTGCCTGCTTCCTGGCTGCCGGCATCTTCTGGGTGTCTGTCCTCTGCAGGAACACGTAATGCCCCTTCCCCCCGGGGGTGCCCACCTCCCCGAGTCTGGCCCTCCTGTCCCTGCCCCCCACTGATGCTCTTCACCTCCCCCTTCTCTCCCTGACCCTCCTGCCAGGTATAACGTCTTCAAGATCCACTGGCTCATGGCGGCCCTGGCTTTCACCAAGAGCATCTCTCTCCTTTTCCACAGCGTGAGAGCCTTGGGCCAGGGTGCAACAGGGGGGTGGGCTGGGAAGACAAGACTGTCCAGGCCACCCACCAAATCTCTTCTGACCCTGGGCTTGGGAGGTCTGTTTGTCCAACTGTCTACCTGTCTATCCACTTCATCCTTGTGGCCAGCTGTCCATCATTTCATGTCTGCCGGTCCTTCTGTCCAGCTGTGACTGTCCACCCTGCAGTCTGACTTGCCATTGGTCCAGCTGTAACTCTCCACCTCATTGATTGTCTAACTGTCCACCCATTCAACTATGAGTGTCCCTCCGTTGCTGCAGCCGGAACTGTACATGTTTGAGTCTCCCCCCAACTTCTACCCCCCCATCCATTCACCTGTCTGACCGTCCATCTGTCCGTCCATCTCCAGATCAACTACTACTTCATCAACAGCAAGGGCCACCCTATCGAAGGCCTCGCTGTCATGCACTACATCACGCACCTGTGAGTGTCCCGTCTCCATGGGCAGGTGGGAGGAGGCAGGCAGGGAGGGCTGGGGCCCCCACCTCACCACCACTCATTGTCCGGCTCCCCCAGGCTGAAGGGCGCCCTGCTGTTCATCACCATCGCCTTGATCGGCTCAGGCTGGGCCTTCGTCAAGTATGTCTTGTCGGATAAGGAGAAGAAGATTTTTGGGATTGTGATCCCCCTGCAGGTACGTATGGGGAGGTCCCCAAAGGGGGCCATGGTGGCGGGGGGCAGAGGGGCACACATCTGGCTGGCAGGGTTGGGGGTTCACATCGGGCAGCACTCACTCACCTACCCACCCCACCTTGGCCTGGCCGCACAGGTCCTCGCCAATGTGGCCTACATTGTCATCGAGTCCCGGGAGGAGGGTGCCAGCGACTACGGGCTCTGGAAGGAGATCCTGTTCCTGGTGGACCTCATCTGCTGTGGTGCAATCCTCTTCCCAGTCGTCTGGTGAGGACCCTGGACCTGCCTCACTCCCCTACCCCACAGGCTGAGACCCAGCTCCTTGTGCACATGGGGGCAGTCAGCACTGACTGCACCACGTGTCCCCCACCCTGTCCCAGGTCCATCCGGCATCTCCAGGATGCGTCTGGCACAGATGGGAAGGGTGAGGCCCTGCTCCTCCTCAGGACCCCTTGCCCCTGCCCGCCCTCTTCCTGCTCCCGTCCCTTCTTTCTGCCCCTGCAAAGCCCCTCCTGGCCACTCTGCCCACTCCTCTGGCCTCTGCCTCCCTACCCGCCCCTGTCTGGCCTGTCATTCCTCTCAGATACCTACATCTAGCCTCTCTACCCTCTTGAGGTCCCCTCCAGACCTTCTGCCCCAGGGACACTCCCCAAGATGTCCTATCTGCTCCCTCCACCAACCCTCTCCCCTTCCTGCCACCCCCAATCTTCTTCCCCTGACCCCCACTGTCTGTGTCAACCCTCAGTGGCAGTGAACCTGGCCAAGCTGAAGCTGTTTCGGCATTACTATGTCATGGTAGGAGACTCACTCCCACTCACAAGGAGGGGAGCGGGGAGGTGTGCTGGGAGCAGGGAAGGGACAACCAGCCTGTTGACACACTCACCCCATCCACTCCATCTCCCATCCCTCTGGGCACCCTCCCCTCTGCCCTCTGCCCCTGATCTCGAAGCCGCCACATTAGGCATCCACAGTCCCACAGTCCCGGTGGTCCCTCTGTCCCATGCCCACCCACCCCTGCAGGTCATCTGTTACGTCTACTTCACACGCATCATCGCCATCCTGCTGCGGGTCGCTGTTCCCTTCCAGTGGCAGTGGCTGTACCAGGTCAGTCTGGAGGCCCCAAGTGGAATAGGAGGGTGGGTCAGACCTTGGAGGTTGCGGGGGTGCACCTGACCCTCGTGCTTTGCCCCCTCGTCCCCCAGCTCTTGGTGGAGGGCTCCACTCTCGCCTTCTTCGTGCTCACGGGCTACAAGTTCCAGCCCGCAGGGGACAACCCATACTTGCAGCTGCCCCAGGAGGATGAGGAGGATGTGAAGATGGAGCAAGTGTAAGGGGGGAGTGGGTGGGGTGCGGGCGACTCTGGAGCCAGGACGGGCAGGGATTGGGCAGCTCTGGAGGGGGGCAGGTCTGGACCAGCTCTGGGGACAGGGCTGGGGCCCATAGAGATGAACTCATAGTCCCAAAGTGGACTAGGGCAAGGCCAGATACCTTGGTTGGGGTCTCTCTGAACTTTAGTGTTTCTCCACTGCAAAATGGGTGCAATGGAGAAAGGTCTCTGTTCTCCAGCTGGCCCTGACCTTGACAGAGACGAGGGCAGGTGGGCAGGTATGTTCATATTGGAAACCTCTGTGGGGGAAACAGTGGGAATGGGGCACAGCAGGACCCCCATCCAGAAATCATTCCCACCTCCTTCCCCTCATTTCCTCCCGACACCCCAGCCAGGGGGGACCAGACAAAGTACAGGACCCCAGTAAAATTTGAATTTCAATAAATAATAAATACTTTTTTAGTATAAGGATGTCCCAGATATCCCTCTAACCTCGCTCGCTCCCTCTCTCGATGCCTGGAACACTGGGCTGGGTGGGCCTGTGAACTGGAATTCCCCCCATTTTGCCCCCCAAAACCTCCTTCTCTCCCTTCCCTGCTGACCTACCTTGTTCACCATCCCCCTTCCAAACTTCTGGACATAAACATCCATCCCCCAGGGTCACTTCCGGGAGGTCAAGACAGGACCCAAACCCTTCCCAGACCTCCAGCATTACAGACATGAATGATGACAACCACCCCATCAGGTACTGTTCCTTCTCTCTAAACCTACAAGACATTTGGCTCCTTCCATTATCACAACAGCCAGAACGATCATCCGTCCCATTGCTCAGATGGACTCACTGAGGCTGAAGAAAGGAGAAACCAAGCCCTGCTGCAAGGCAGAGGCCAAACAGGAATTCCTCCTCGAGGCTGTCACACCACAGAGCCCCAATGCTATCACGAAACCAGGAAATGGGGTGCCTTGTGGGTTGAGGAGGGAATAGGGGAAGTAACAGGGGTGGTTGGGAGCTCCAGTTTCAAAAGCTGAGCCCGCATTCTGGAAAACAAACGATTGCCTCCCGCCTCCCCCTATTCCAAAGAAACGGTGTTGCAACCGACGCAGACGGAGGCCAGATTTGTTCTAATACTCTGCACCTCCCCCTCCCCCTGGCTAGGAAAAGATCGTGGTTTACAGGAAATCAGAGCAAACTCCCCATTAACTCCTTCAGTGGAGTTGTGGAAACTGCCTCTCCAGGGATCAGGACCCCCCACCCACATACCATTCCGTGGCCTTAACCATTCACCTTCTATGCCCGGACAATAACGTCGCTGAGCATCAGAGAACTGCACATTAAAATGACACTGGGGTACCAGTTTTCACCCAAGAGGCTGGCAAAAATTCAAAAATTTGCCAACGTGCTTGGGGTGGGGGTAGGCAGTAGGTAACTGGCGATTAATTTCATGCAGGGCTGGTGAATGTTTAAAATACAACTCCTATGGAGGAGAATTCTGCAATATTTAGCAAGATTAGTAATGCATCTAGATGTAGACCCAGGGTGATGTCCTTTCATTGCAATAACAACCCTGTGAAGTAGGTGCTGTTGTAACCCCATATCACATGAGGAAACTGAGGCTCAGAGTGGTTATCATTAGCTTACCCAAAGATCACAGCTAATAAGCGTCAGAGCCAGAAAGTGATGTGGCTCAAGATTGTGCACTGCAGAGAGTGTGGTTTAAAACCACTCAAGTCCGGCTGGTTAGCTCAGTTGTTTAGAGCACAGCTTTGTAACACCAAGGTCAAGGGTTCGAATCTCCGTACCAGCCAGGCACCGAAAAAAAAGAAAAAAAAAAAAACCCACGGAAGTATGTCTATCAAGAGGAGGCTGATTACTTCCACACAATGCAATAGAAGGTAGTTACCTACAAGAATGAGGAAGATCTCTGTGCACTGATATGAAAAAATCTCTAAGGTATGTTTGTGAAAAAGCAAGATGTAAAGCAGGGAGACAAGGAAAAATAGCATGCACGGTATATAAAAATAGTATTTATTTTTAAAACAGGTACATTGCTAACAGGGGTGGGAAGACCGTCATTCCCTCTATACACATTTGTACCTTTTAGATATTGAACTATGTGCATATATATTACTAATCCACCCACAAACAATGCAACTTAAAATAATAATATCCTATAAATAATAATATTGTAAAACATGTACAAAAGCTACAAATGAGAATTTTCCTCAGTGATTACTTTTTTGACCACCATAGTCACTCGGACATCCTGACAAGGGTAGGGGAAGGGAGCTCCAGGCTCCCCTTTCCCTGGAAGGAACAACCATCAAGACAGCGAACTCCTATACATACTTCAAAGCCCAGCTGAAATGTCCCCTTCTCCAAGAAGCCTTCCCTGATCCTCTAATTAGCAAAATTATTTTTCTTCACTGAAGAAAACACTCCATGGGACTGAGAACGTCTGTGCTGGGCTCTGTCCCTCTCTTCTACTCCCCCTCCCTCAACATGGAAGCCTCTGGAAGTGGAGCTCTATCTCCCAGCATAGAGATGAACTCATAGTCCCAAAGTGGACTAGGGCAAGGCCAGATACCTTGGTTGGGGTCTCTCTGAACTTTAGTGTTTCTCCACTGCAAAATGGGTGCAATGGAGAAAGGTCTCTGTTCTCCAGCTGGCCCTGACCTTGACAGAGACGAGGGCAGGTGGGCAGGTATGTTCATATTGGAAACATGCCCTCAGGTTACTTATCCCTCAACATGTTGGCCCCACGGCTTGAAAAACTTAGGAAATGGTATTGAGAAATCTGGGGCAGTCCCAGCGAGGGGAGAGGCCACAGGGGGAGAAGGGAGGGCTGAGCTGGGGAGAGGTAGGAGCCAGATAAGAGGCAGCCTCCAGCAGCCCCTGCTCGCTCCTTCCCATCCTCTCCCTCTGACCCTCTGTCCCTCCACTGTCCCTGCACCATGGGACCTGCCTCAGGTCCCAGCCTGCTATTGTTGCTACTCACCAGCCTCCCCCTGGCCCTGGGGGATCCCATGTGAGTACTCACAACTCACCCCCAATATAAGGCTGCTTCTGGGGTGGGAGCAGGCACTTGTGGGTACCGATCCCTATAGAATTCAGGGTGCATTTGGGTGTTTGTGGAATCCAAGTATTGTGGGATTGGGGATTTGTATATTTGTGAATTGAGGATCTGTAGGTTTAGGGTATATGTGGTGTTTAGTGACTGTGTGGTTGGGGTGATTTGGAGACTTGAAGGTTTGTACAAGAGTTGGGAGTTTGCAGTTTGGGGACTTAATGGGTTTTAGTGCTTGTACGTTTAGAGATTTGATACTTGGTTCAGGTAAGGTCGGGGTGTTTGGATTTAGTTGTATTTATAGGACCAGGAGATCAGAGGTTGAGGTTTAGGTGTTGGCTGTTAAACGGTTTGGGGTTTAGAAGTTTGGTTGCATGTGGGTTTGGGTATGTATAGTTTGGGGTCTCTGAGGGTTTGGGTGTGTATACATTTGGGGATGTTTAGGGATGAAGGGGTTTAGGGCTTTAGGCCTATGTGGGTTTAGGTGATTGTGGGTTTGGAAGTCTAGAGACTTGGAGGAGCTGCTGCTTCTGGTTTTGAGGTTCAGGGTTTGGTGGAACCCGCAGCCCCTAGCTGACCAGGCTTTCAAAGGCAGGACTGGCTAAGATAGGAAAAGATCGTGGTTTACAGGAAATCAGAGCAAACTCCCCATTAACTCCTTCAGTGGAGTTGTGGAAACTGCCTCTCCAGGGATCAGGACCCCCCACCCACATACCATTCCGTGGCCTTAACCATTCACCTTCTATGCCCGGACAATAACGTCGCTGAGCATCAGAGAACTGCACATTAAAATGACACTGGGGTACCAGTTTTCACCCAAGAGGCTGGCAAAAATTCAAAAATTTGCCAACGTGCTTGGGGTGGGGGTAGGCAGTAGGTAACTGGCGATTAATTTCATGCAGGGCTGGTGAATGTTTAAAATACAACTCCTATGGAGGAGAATTCTGCAATATTTAGCAAGATTAGTAATGCATCTAGATGTAGACCCAGGGTGATGTCCTTTCATTGCAATAACAACCCTGTGAAGTAGGTGCTGTTGTAACCCCATATCACATGAGGAAACTGAGGCTCAGAGTGGTTATCATTAGCTTACCCAAAGATCACAGCTAATAAGCGTCAGAGCCAGAAAGTGATGTGGCTCAAGATTGTGCACTGCAGAGAGTGTGGTTTAAAACCACTCAAGTCCGGCTGGTTAGCTCAGTTGTTTAGAGCACAGCTTTGTAACACCAAGGTCAAGGGTTCGAATCTCCGTACCAGCCAGGCACCGAAAAAAAAGAAAAAAAAAAAACCCACGGAAGTATGTCTATCAAGAGGAGGCTGATTACTTCCACACAATGCAATAGAAGGTAGTTACCTACAAGAATGAGGAAGATCTCTGTGCACTGATATGAAAAAATCTCTAAGGTATGTTTGTGAAAAAGCAAGATGTAAAGCAGGGAGACAAGGAAAAATAGCATGCACGGTATATAAAAATAGTATTTATTTTTAAAACAGGTACATTGCTAACAGGGGTGGGAAGACCGTCATTCCCTCTATACACATTTGTACCTTTTAGATATTGAACTATGTGCATATATATTACTAATCCACCCACAAACAATGCAACTTAAAATAATAATATCCTATAAATAATAATATTGTAAAACATGTACAAAAGCTACAAATGAGAATTTTCCTCAGTGATTACTTTTTTGACCACCATAGTCACTCGGACATCCTGACAAGGGTAGGGGAAGGGAGCTCCAGGCTCCCCTTTCCCTGGAAGGAACAACCATCAAGACAGCGAACTCCTATACATACTTCAAAGCCCAGCTGAAATGTCCCCTTCTCCAAGAAGCCTTCCCTGATCCTCTAATTAGCAAAATTATTTTTCTTCACTGAAGAAAACACTCCATGGGACTGAGAACGTCTGTGCTGGGCTCTGTCCCTCTCTTCTACTCCCCCTCCCTCAACATGGAAGCCTCTGGAAGTGGAGCTCTATCTCCCAGCATAGAGATGAACTCATAGTCCCAAAGTGGACTAGGGCAAGGCCAGATACCTTGGTTGGGGTCTCTCTGAACTTTAGTGTTTCTCCACTGCAAAATGGGTGCAATGGAGAAAGGTCTCTGTTCTCCAGCTGGCCCTGACCTTGACAGAGACGAGGGCAGGTGGGCAGGTATGTTCATATTGGAAACATGCCCTCAGGTTACTTATCCCTCAACATGTTGGCCCCACGGCTTGAAAAACTTAGGAAATGGTATTGAGAAATCTGGGGCAGTCCCAGCGAGGGGAGAGGCCACAGGGGGAGAAGGGAGGGCTGAGCTGGGGAGAGGTAGGAGCCAGATAAGAGGCAGCCTCCAGCAGCCCCTGCTCGCTCCTTCCCATCCTCTCCCTCTGACCCTCTGTCCCTCCACTGTCCCTGCACCATGGGACCTGCCTCAGGTCCCAGCCTGCTATTGTTGCTACTCACCAGCCTCCCCCTGGCCCTGGGGGATCCCATGTGAGTACTCACAACTCACCCCCAATATAAGGCTGCTTCTGGGGTGGGAGCAGGCACTTGTGGGTACCGATCCCTATAGAATTCAGGGTGCATTTGGGTGTTTGTGGAATCCAAGTATTGTGGGATTGGGGATTTGTATATTTGTGAATTGAGGATCTGTAGGTTTAGGGTATATGTGGTGTTTAGTGACTGTGTGGTTGGGGTGATTTGGAGACTTGAAGGTTTGTACAAGAGTTGGGAGTTTGCAGTTTGGGGACTTAATGGGTTTTAGTGCTTGTACGTTTAGAGATTTGATACTTGGTTCAGGTAAGGTCGGGGTGTTTGGATTTAGTTGTATTTATAGGACCAGGAGATCAGAGGTTGAGGTTTAGGTGTTGGCTGTTAAACGGTTTGGGGTTTAGAAGTTTGGTTGCATGTGGGTTTGGGTATGTATAGTTTGGGGTCTCTGAGGGTTTGGGTGTGTATACATTTGGGGATGTTTAGGGATGAAGGGGTTTAGGGCTTTAGGCCTATGTGGGTTTAGGTGATTGTGGGTTTGGAAGTCTAGAGACTTGGAGGAGCTGCTGCTTCTGGTTTTGAGGTTCAGGGTTTGGTGGAACCCGCAGCCCCTAGCTGACCAGGCTTTCAAAGGCAGGACTGGCTAAGAGCGGGTGGAAGTCCCGGGTGGGCCTGCGAACTGGAAGTCCCTCCCGCCCGTGTGCATGAGGAGGTGGTGGTGCCCAGGGAGGAACGCGGATTCAGATATGAACGTTGGCAGGGCCCTGGGCAGTCATTGGATACGGGCCAGGACCAGGCGCTGGGCACGGCGCCCGGGCACAGAGGCGCGGCCAGGCGCGGACCCCGGTGAGGGCTGGAGTCTCGCGTCTTCGGGATGAGAGCTCCCCGTCCCCGCTCCCCACAGGTACTCCCTGATCACCCCCAACATCCTGCGGCTGGGGAGCGAAGAGATGGTGGTGCTGGAGGCCCACGATGCCACACAAGACGTTCAGGTCACGGTCACCGTCAGCGACTTCCCAGCCAAGAAGCAAGTGCTGTCCAATGAAAAGATCACGCTGACCAGTGCCTCGGACTACATGGGCAGCGTCACCATCAAGGTGGGCCAGACCCGAGCCAGGCTCTGCGGACACGCACAGCCCCTCCCATTCTTCCTGCCCTGCCTGAGGCTCCTCCCCCTCTAGCCCCGCCCCTGTCTGAGCCCCTCCCCCGTCTGAGCCCCTCCTCCTTCTGAGTCTCCTCCCCTCGGGCCCCTCCCCCTTTCTGAGGTCCCTCCCCCTCTGAGTTCCTCCCCCTGAGCCCTTTCCCCTTCTAGTCTCCTCCCCCTCTGGCCCCTCCCCCTTTTGAGGTCCCTCCCCCTCTGAGTTCCTCCCCCTGAGCCCTTTCCCCTTCTAGTCTCCTCCCCCTCTGGCCCCTCCCCCTTTTGAGGTCCCTCCCCCTCTGAGTTCCTCCCCCTGAGCCCTTTCCCCTTCTAGTCTCCTCCCCCTCTGGCCCCTCCCCCTTTTGAGGTCCCTCCCCCTCTGAGTTCCTCCCCCTGAGCCCTTTCCCCTTCTAGTCTCCTCCCCCTCTGGCCCCTCCCCCTTTTGAGGTCCCTCCCCCTCTGAGTTCCTCCCCCTGAGCCCTTTCCCCTTCTAGTCTCCTCCCCCTCTGGCCCCTCCCCCTTTTGAGGTCCCTCCCCCTCTGAGTTCCTCCCCCTGAGCCCTTTCCCCTTCTAGTCTCCTCCCCCTCTGGCCCCTCCCCCTTTTGAGGTCCCTCCCCCTCTGAGTTCCTCCCCCTGAGCCCTTTCCCCTTCTAGTCTCCTCCCCCTCTGGCCCCTCCCCCTTTTGAGGTCCCTCCCCCTCTGAGTTCCTCCCCCTGAGCCCTTTCCCCTTCTAGTCTCCTCCCCCTCTGGCCCCTCCCCCTTTTGAGGTCCCTCCCCCTCTCCCCCCCCCGCACCAACTCTTGCACCTCCTCCGAGTGCACCTTCCGTCCCCCAAACTGGGCAAACCAGGGAGACCTGGCATCCTGGGCAGGCTCCCGTCGTGAGGAGGGGCAGACGTGGACCTGGCCAAAGGCCCAGAAGCCAGACTGTGGACACGGGGCGCGGGAGCAGACCCCTCACCACCCCCTGGCTCGTGCCTAGATCCCGATCAGCAAGGAGTTTAAGCCAGAAAAGAAGAACAATTACGTGATCATCCAAGCGTCCTTCGGGGGCGTCCAGGTGGAGAAGGTGGTGCTGGTCAGCCTTCAGAGCGGGTACCTCTTCATCCAGACGGACAAGACCATCTACACCCCAGGCTCCACAGGTGAGGGGCTGGCGGTGGCTGGAGAGGGCAGGGCAGGGCAGGGCTGCGGGGGGCCGGGGTCTTCCCGGGCCTCCCTGACTCTCCCACCACCCTCCAGTTTTCTATCGGATCTTCACCGTGGACCACAAGTTGCTGCCCGTGGGCCGGACCGTTATGATCAGTGTTGAGGTACCAGCCAGCAGGGGGCCCAGGGACAGCAGAGGCAGAGCCTCGGGGAAAGACAGAGAGAGACTGAGACAGAGGCACTGGAAAAGTCGGAAAAGTCGGAAAGTAGCAGAGACCCAGATGCGGGGACACAAACACGGAGAGGCCTGGAGATGGGGCGGAGACCTGGGGGACCACGTGGAGCGGTGCATGTGTCCATGGATTCTGGTTTCGGATAAACCCCTGGTCACCTCACCTCCCTGAGCCTCCGTTTCCCCATCTGAAGACTGTGATTATGACAGATAATTCTATGTAGTCTATTCCCCCTGCAGCAGCCAGAGGGCGCCTGTGAACTCTGAGTCAGGCCCCTCCCTCCCCTGCCCACAGCCCTCCATGGCTCCCACCTCCCTCAGGGGAAAAGCCCAGGTCCTCCTGCAGCCCACAGGCCCTGCACGGCCTCCCGCCTTCCCCTCCCCCCTCTTTCCCCCTCGCTCAGTCAGCTCCAGCCACACGGGCCTCCTCACTGTTCTCTAACACTCCAGGCTCGGTCCTGCCTCAGGACCTTTGCACGGGCTGTGCCCTCTTCTCAGAGAACATTCTTTCTCCAAATATCCTCCAATGTCCCAGTTTTACAGTGAGGCCTCCCTGAGCATCCTATAAAGTTGCAGATCCCCTTCCCCACCCCAGACACACACATTCCTCCCCTCTCGCCATCTCCTGTAAATGCGATTTATGCATTTGGTAATTGCCTCCCCCTCCCCCATCTTCCATTGAACCTCAATTCAACTGTTGTATCTGTTTGTTCAGGGTCTTGTCACCTAAACCCAGCACAGTGGCGTATGGTTGGGCTTAATAAAAACTTACAGGAAGACGAAAGGGGAAAGAAGGAGGGAGGCATGGTGGGGAGTGGGGGGTGGGGTGTTTGTCCACATAGGATTGTCATGAGGATTCACGAAATTATGCAAAGGTAACCAGGACCAGGCAAGTGACAAGTCTGAAGCTTGCTTTAGGGACAGATAGGGTCTGTAGGCAACAGAGACCACACAGTTCCTCTAAAGGCACAACTGCTGCCCAGCTCCAATCAAATGTCACCTTGTGCCAACAGGAGTGTGGTTTCCATAGAATTTCCCAATTTGCAAGAGAAGGTAGAAAACCAGATTTCTATGCAATATCTCCTGATGTTTAACTATTGGCAAGAAATAAGATAATATGTGTATTAGGTCGAGCTACATGAAATTGTTATTCTTGCAGATCAAAAGTTGAAAATAGGCAATTACATGGGGTTAGGTCTAATCAAATGCTTAGCACAGGATCCGGCACAAAAGTGGGTGATAAATGCTAGTTGTTATTAGTATTCAGAGAGACCCTGATAATAATGAGCTCCAGCTTACATGAACTATGTCCCAAGACAATGAGGTAGGTGCCAGTATTATCTCCTTTTTTTAGATATGCACGCTGAGCACAGAGAGGTTAAGTAACTTGCCCAAGGTCACACAGCTTGTATGTGGCACAGTAGGGATTTGAACCTAGACTGACAGACTCAGGTCCATGTTCTTAACCACTGTCCCTATAGACATGGCACAGAGAGTGTCCAGACACACAGAGGTTGGGGAGAGCTGAGGGGCTAAGCCTGGTGGCTGAAGAGCCTCTTTATCTCACATCTCTTCCTGTCTCTCGCAGACCCCTGAGAACATCACCATCAAGCAGGACTCCCTGTCTTCCCACAACCAGGTCGGCATCTTGTCCTTGTCTTGGACCATCCCAGAACTGGTCAAGTATGTCAGGCTCTCCAGGAGGGGGTTCAGGGCTTCCCTATCCCAGGAGAGGGAGAGGGAGTTGGGGGCTGCCAGGCCTGACCAGACCACTCACCTGCTTTCCCCGCAGCCTGGGTCAGTGGAAGATTCGAGCCCACTATGAACATTCACCGAATCAGGTCTTCTCCACTGAGTTTGAGGTGAAGGAGTACGGTAAGAAGAGGAGGGAACAGGGTTGGGGGAACCCCATAACATTGGGCCCAGCACTGGCCCCCACTAATGCCATCTCTCACCCCAGTGCTGCCCAGTTTCGAGGTCACAGTGGAGCCTGCAGAGAAATTCTACTATGTCTATGACCCAGAGGGCCTGCGGGTCACCATTACAGCCAGGTGAGGGGCCAGGTGAGGGCCAGGTGAGAGGCTGAAGGGAGCCAGGTGAAGGACTGGGGGTGGGGCCAGGTGAGGGACTGGGGGTGGGGCCAGGTGAGAGGCTGAGGGAGCCAGGTGATGGACTGGGGTAGGGCCAGGCACTCTGAGTCCTCAGCTACAGCCAGCAGAAGTTGAGAAAGACTCAGTTTTCCGGGAGGGTAGGATGTGAAGTCCTCCTCGTCTCACAGGTTCTTGTACGGGAAGAACGTGGATGGAACTGCCTTTGTCATCTTTGGGATCCAGGACGGCGACCAGAGGATTTCGCTGGCCCAGTCTCTCACCCGCATTATGGTGCCTGACAGAGGGCCCCTTCGAGCGTGCCCACGCCCCCAGTCCCCTGCCTCCTCTGGGTCCCCTGCCCTCTCTGAGCTCTCATTCCCTCCCCCAGATCGATGATGGCTCAGGAGAGGCTTTGCTGAGACGACAGGTGCTGCTGGACGGGGTGCAGCCCTCCGAAGAGTCTGCCCTGGTGGGGAAGTCCCTGTACGTGTCTGTCACCGTCATCCTGCACTCAGGTGAGGCCTGGTCTGTGGGCGAGGCCCAGAGTGAAGGTGGGATTCAGTCTGAGGGCGGAGGCACCATACGAGGGAGGGTCTGACCGGAGGGCAGAGGCCTGGTCCTAAGGCTGGCCCCGCAGCCCACCGCACGGCTGGTTCTCTCAGGCAGCGACATGGTGGAGGCGGAGCGCAGCGGTATCCCCATCGTCACCTCCCCCTACCAGATCCACTTCACCAAGACGCCCAAGTACTTCAAACCAGCTATGCCCTTCGACCTCACGGTGAGACCCAGAGCGGGCTGCACTCCCCATTTCTGGAGTGCCGGCCATGCCTCTGCGTCCACCTGAACTTCCTCCACCTGCCCGCATCCACAGGTGCTGGTGACGAATCCCGATGGCTCCCCCGCCCGCCACGTCCCTGTGGTGATCGAGGGCTCTAATGCGCCTTCCCTAACCCAGGACGATGGCATGGCCAAGCTGAGCACCAACACGGCCGACAGCACCGAGCGCCTGACCGTCACGGTGAGCCCAGGCTCCCTCTCGGGGGCCCACGGCCAGCAGGTCCCAATGTTTGTACCAAGGGGTCCTGCCTTTCATATTAGGGCTATTTTCCTTTGTGTAAAGGGGCTCCCGTCTGCACAGTGGGGTCCTGCTGTCTGCACAGGGCTCCTCCACTCACGTGCCTTGGTCCCTACACTTGGACGTCTGTGCGCACAGTCTTGCCACTCGCATGGAGAAATCTGAATTTTACAAGAGGGGCTCTGTCATTTATACGGGGGGACTCATGATTGGCATGGTGGGCTCAATTCTTCTGGCTTCTGTGGACTCCGCTGTGTTGCCCCTTGCAGGGAGGGAAGCACAGATCCTCTGCCTGCTGCAGAGAGATGCAGATGTCCCCCGGGGTCCCTCCCCGGCTTCTGGGCTGTGCACCCCCTCCCCTGGCTAGAAGGCTGCCTCCCTTACAGCTGCTGTGACAAATGACCTCAGCTCAGTGACTCAAAACAAAAGACCTTTATTAATTTACAGTTCTGGAGGTCAGAAGTCCTAAAATCAAGGCAGCGACAGGGCTGCACTCCTAGGGGAGAATCCATTTCCTGCATTTTCCAGCTTCTAGAAGCTGCCCGTGTTCTCTGGCTCGTGGCTCCTTTTCCCACCAGCAGCAGCACAGGATCTTTCAATCTCTCTCTCTCTCTCTTCTGCTGCCCTTTTTTTTAAAAGATGACTGGTAAGGGGATCTCAACCCTTGACTTGGTGTTGTCAGCACCACGCTCAGCCAGTGAGTGAACC